TTGCACTGTATTTTCGTATGGTATTTATTGTTGTATTCTAGTTTCCCTGGTCTCATTTTATAGAATGGAAGACATATTACAGAAATTAAGATGATTTTGACTGGTTTTACGATGAAAAGTACCTTGAAATTGAGCTCAAAATAGCAGAAATGTTTGGCTTTTACCAAAGTTCAAAAGTAAACAAATCATGCCAAGTGTCCAATACACCTCAACTTGTGAGTCTAATATTCTTCCACAAGTGCGCTGATATTATTTATACCATTTCTACACTAATACAGTAGTCTGCATAACAGTAAATCTTCTATTTTTTTTTTTGTGAGAATAAAAGTTCAAAGTGAAAAGCAAAAGAATTTAAGAGGGGCGTGGGGACGTGACTAATGAACAGAAGAAATGTTATTTTAGTGCCAGGAATGTCTTTCTTGTTTATTCTGAACCCTATTTGGAAATTGGCATCTTTTGAAATTTGTGTGAAAATGACAAAATTGCTAAATTCTAACCACTGCATTGGATAGTTGAAATCGGTGAATGGGTGGTTTCTTGTACTCATTCGATAGAAAAAATGGAGTTCTAATGAAATAGTTATGATTTTTGTTAACGTACACTGGAATTGGCCGAAAATAGGGCCAATTGGATAGTTGAAATCAGTAAATGGGTGGTTTCTTGTACTCATTCGATAGAAAAAATGGAGTTCTAACGAAATAGTTATGATTTTTGTTGACGTACACTGGAATTGGCCTAAAATAGTGCTCAAAGTGGGCATAATCGCCGATGCGTAAACATCGTCGAGACTGCTAACTTCACGAGAGCATAATTCCGTAAGTTTTCCATCAAAATTTCATACTTTTGGTGTCATTATGATCAGGAAAAGATTCTTTATCTTTTCATAAGAAAAAATAATTTTTTTTTTTTTTTTAAATTTGGGGGACCCTGAGAACAAGTCTCGGAGAGGGCCTGTGGACCCTGAAAGGGTTAATGATAATGACTGAGCAGGATGATCTGACGGTTTCTTCTGATACATTATTATAGTTTATCAGCTATCTGGAAATCAGTTACCCTGCTTCCACCATTATCTGGCAATCTTGTTTGAACTGGCACCTAAACAGATAATGGCAAAACATTATGTTTAACAAAAAATAGACAACAAAAAATTATATATTCTGGTACTGATGAAACTCAACTCTGCACCTTTTCCCTGATAGAGCCAGATGATTGATGATCTACTGTATTGTATTAACTTAAGCAAATTCTATACACACAAATGGGTTTAGCACTTAGCTATGATTATAATAATTTTTTTTTTCATTAAGTTGGCCTTCTCCCACCGAGGCAGGGTGACCCAAAAAGAAAGAAAATCCCCAAAAGGAAAATACTTTCATCATTCAACACTTTCATCTCACTCACATATAATCACTGTTTTTGCAGAGGTGCCCAGAATACAACAGTTTAAAAGTATATACGTACATATAAAAATACACAATATATCCCTCCAAACTGCCAATATCTCAAACCCCTCCTTTAGAGCGCAGGCATTGTACTTCCCATTTCCAGGACTCAAGTCCGGTTATATAAAATAACCGGTTTCCCCGAATCCCTTGACTAAATATTACCCTGCTCACACTCCAGCAGCTCGTCAGGTCCGAAATACCATTCGTCTCTATTCACTCCTATCTAACACGCTCATGCACGCTTGCTGGAAGTCCAAGCCCCTCGCCCACAACACTTCCTTTACCCCCTCCCTCCAACCTTTTCGAGGACGACCCCTACCCCGCCTTCCTTCCCCTACAGATTTATACGCTCTCCATGTCATTCTGCTTTGACCCATTCTCTCTAAATAACCAAACCACCTCAACAAACCCTCTTCAGCCCTCTGACTAATACTTTTATTAACTCCACACCTTCTCCTAGTTTCCACACTCCGAATTTTCTGCATAATATTTATACCACACATTGCCCTTAGATAGGACATCTCTACTGCCTCCAACCGCCTCCTCGCTGCAGCATTTACAACCCAAGCTTCACACCCATATAAGAGTGTTGGTACTACTATACTTTCATACATACCCTTCTTTGCCTCCATAGATAACATTTTTTGCCTCCACATATACCTCATTGCACCGCTCACCTTTTTTCCTTCATCAATTCTATGATTAACCTCATCCTTCATAAATCCATCTGCTGACACGTCAACTCCCAAATATCTGAAAACATTCACTTCTTCCATACTCCTCCTCCCCAATTTGATATCCAATTTTTCTTTATCTAAATCATTTGATACCCTCATCACCTTACTCTTTTCTATGTTCACTTTCAACTTTCTACCTTTACACACACCCCCAAATTCGTCCACTAACCTTGGCAATTTTTCTTTAGAATCTCCCATAAGGACAGTATCATCAGCAAATAGTAACTGTCAATTTCCATTTTGTATTTAATTCCCCATAATTTAATCCCATCCCTCTCCCGAACACCCTAGCATTTACTTCTTTTACAACCTCATCTATAAATATATTAAACAACCATGGTGACATTACACATCCCTGTCTAAGACCTACTTTTACCGGGAAGTATTCTCCCTCTCTTCTACACACCGTAACCTGAGCCTCACTATCCTCATAAAAACTCTTTACAGCATTTAGTAACTTACCACCTACTCCATATACTTGCAACATCTGCCACATTGCTTCTCTATCCACTCTATCATTTGCCTTTTCTAAATCCATAAATGCAATAAAAGCTTTCCTACCTTTATCTAAATACTGCTCACATATATGCTTCAATGTAAACACTTGACCTACACATCCCCTACCCACTCTAAAACCTCCTTGCTCATCCGCAATTCTACATTCTGTCTTACCTCGAATTCTTTCAATAATAACCCTACCATACACTTTTCCTGGTATACTCAGTAAACTTATTCCTCTATAATTTTTACAATTTCTCTTGTCCCCCTTCCCTTTATATAAAGGGACTATTCACACTCTCCGCCAATCCCTAGGTACCTTCCCCTCTTTCGTACATTTATTAAACAAAAATACCAACCATTCCAACACTATGTCCCCCCTGCTTTTAACATTTCTGTCATGATCCCGTCAGTTCCAACTGCTTTACCCCCTTTCATTCTACGTAATGCCTCACGCACCTCCCCGACACTCACATCCTGCTCTTCTTCACTCCTAAAAGATGGTACACCTCCCTGTTCAGTGCATGAAATTACTGCCTCCCTTTCTTCGTCGACATTTAAAAGTTCCTCAAAATGTTCTCGCCATCTACCCAATACCTCCATCTTCCCATCTACTAACTCCCCTACTCTGTTTTTAACTGACAAATCCATTTGTTCCCTAGGCTTTCTTAACTTGTTTAACTCCAGAATTTTTTCTTATTTTCATTAAAATTTCTTGACAGTACCTCTGCCACTCTATCATCTGCTCTCCTTTTGCACTCTCTCACCACTCTCTTCACCTTTCTTTTACTCTCCATATACTCTACTCTTCTTATAACACTTCTGCTTTGTAAAATTCTCTCATAAGCTAACTTTTTCTCTTTTATCAGACCCTTCATCATTCCACCAATCACTCCTCTTTCCTCCTGTACCCACCCTCCTATAGCCACAAACTTCTGCCCCACATTCTAATACTGCATTTTTAAAACTATTCGAACCCTCTTCAACCCCCCCCCCCCCACTACTCATACCTGAACCAGCCCATCTTTCTGCCAATAGTTGCTTATATCTCACCCGAACTTCCTCCTCCCTTAGTTTATACACTTTCACCTCCCTCGTGCTTGTTGTTGCCATTTTCCTCTTTTCCCATCTACCTCTTACTCTAACTGTAGCTACAACTAGATAATGATCCGATATATTAGTTGCCCCTCTATAAACGTGTACATCCTGGATCCTACCCATCAACCTTTTATCCACCAATACATAATCTAACAAACTACTTTCATTATGTGCTCTATCATACCTTGTATATTTATTTATCCTCTTTTTCATAAAATATGTATTACTTATTACCAAACCTCTTTTTATACATAGCTCAATTAAAGGCTCCCCATTTTCATTTACCCCTGGCACCCCAAAATTACCTACTACTCCCTCCACAACATTTTTGCCCACTTTAGCATTAAAATCCCCAACCACCATTACTCTCACACTTGGTTCAAAACTACCCACGCATTCACTCAACATTTCCCAAAATCTCTCTCTCTCTTCTACACTTCTCTCTTCTCCAGGTGCATATACGCTTAATATAACCCACTTTTCACATCCAACCTTTATTTTACTCCACATAACCCTTGAATTAATACATAGTCCCTCTTTTCCTGCCATAACTTATCCTTCAACATTATTGCTACCCCTTCTTTAGCTCTTAACTCTATTTGAAACCCCTGACCTAATCCATTTATTCCTCTCCACTGAAACTCACCCACCCCCTTCAGCTTTGTTTCACTTAAAGCCAGGACATCCAGCTTCTTCTCATTCATAACATCCACAATCATCTCTTTCTTATCATTTGCACAACATCCACACACATTCAGACTTCTCACTTTGACAATTTTCTTCTTATTCATTTTAGTAATTATTACAGAAAAAGGAGTTACTAGCCCATTGTTCCCAGCATTTTAGTTGACTTTTACAACACGCATGGCTTACGGAGGAAAGATTCTTATTCCACTTCCCCATGGATATAAAAGGAAAAGTAATAAGAACAAGAACTATTAAGATAAAATCAAAGAAAACTCAGATGAGTGTGTATAAAAACGTGTACATGTATGTGTAGTGTGACCTAGTGTAAGTAGAAGTAGCAAGACGTACCTGTAATCTTGCATATTTATGAGACAGACAAAAGACACCAGCAATCCTACCATCATGTAAAACAATTACAGGCTTTCGTTTTACACTCACTTGGCAGGACGGTAGTACCTCCCTGGGTGGTTGCTGTCTACCAACGTACTACATATAATAATAATATGCACACAAATAGGATAACAGAAGACGGTGATAATTATTGTCGTTTATTGATGAACACTATCTGAATACAGGGATCTGTGACGTCATCGCCTGTGTGTGTGTTCCTCTTGCCGTTAATTGCCCTGAGGATCGTGGTTGACATAAACCTTAACATAAAAAATAACTTATCAATAAATTACTAAATGCTTATAAATTAATATGATTATAACCATACTCACTGACTCACACACCTGACTCACGCGCTTGACACTTGATACACACTACTGTATACATCTTAAAGGGTAAATAATTTCTGTACAGTGCTATACATGTCTCTTGCTGCCCACGTATTTTACAATATTATACAGTGAATAAAAACGGTGCGACTCCTGTATTACAGAGGCCGACGGTCATGTAAAGCCGAAGTTTGAGCTGCCCACTGTCACACTCGCATGCACACTACATCTCAGGAATGATAATACATACAGTATTGTATTTCTACAATATCATCACCAAATTAGAGTATTGGGCTGATTCATTTTTTTTTTTTTTTTTTGACTGTACTGTCTCTCAAACTCTCCAGTTATCTTCACTTTACAGGAATACACCTCAACCATTGGGATGATTCCTTTTGGAAATAATTTTGGATCCAATATTTTCTTGGCATTGAGGTGTCAGTGCTTGCATGGGCAGGACGAGCGTGGGTGTGGGCGGCTAGGGTATAGAGATTATCACTAGCAAGCCATCATCATGTAGCTGGCAGAAAAGCCTTCTTCTTCCCGGTCATTGACGCCATCAGAAGATACCAGTAGATTTATGGGACCCGTAGCATTTACTGTGGACATCAATGTAAATTATTAATGATTGTTGACCCTTCCCAAATCATGACAAAGAACATTACCACTACTACTGATGAGGAATTGGATCTACCCTTCCTTGGATCAAGCCTGATTATCTCCCATTCACCAATTGCTGTATGACCCTTCAGGGTTTATTACTGTTGGTGGATTGCAAGACTTGATTACAAATATGGTAAAAATGGCTCTAACTGCAAAGTAAATCTTTATATATGGATTATGTTTTGCTCTAAGTAGAGCTTTATCAAGGCAATATAAGTTGTAGTGTAACGTATATAGAGGAACAGATGAGGTGAGAAGAGGGGTTTGTATATCATCTGTGTTTCTACCTCTGTTACCTTCTCCACCCTCACTAGTCTCTAATCAAGCAAGCACACCTTGCTCTACACTGCTGTATGACCCTTGTGGATTTAGTGCATCCTTATGATTATAATAGTAATATGTCATCTGTAATATGTCTCCTGTATATATTACTAAATTTAAAAGGAGAAATTTTCCTTTTTTCTTTTGGGTCACCCCGCCTCGGTGGGATGTGGCTGGTTTGTTGAAAGAAGACTGTCATCTGTAGCACTGGGGTGTATGGATACTGGTACATACACTTGATGATTATTTTTGTCTTTAATACGCTGGCTGTTTCCCACTGAGGCAGGGTGACCCGAAAAAGAAACACTTTCACCATTATTTATGTTATCCCTATCTTGCTGGAGGCATGTAATATTAGCCTTGCAGGTTCTTTGGCAATACTAAAGACTTCCTGATTTTGCTGTGTGGAAAATCTGAACGTGGCCTCCAAGCATAGTTTCCTGGTCCTGTTGTCCCTACTAGCAATAAGCTCACTGTGTACCCAATCCATGAAATGGATTTTGTATACACATTTATGCTTGAGGGTTCTTGTTATGTAGCCTCTGTTGCTATGCTTTCGCAGCTTGTTGCAGTCTCTTTACAGGAGGCCTGGTCTCAGACCGGGCCGCGGGGGCGTTGACCCCCGGAACTCTCTCCAGGTAAACTCCAGGTACCTCGGGATACGAACAGCTCAAAACTCAAATAATTACGTAAGTGCTTTTGTAAGTGTATTTTTGGGGGTCTGAAATGGATTAATTTAATTTACATTATTCTTTATGAGAACAAATTCATTCGTTATCAGCACTGGAACAGCCTTCTGGATTATTATTATAATGAAGGGGGAAGCGCTAAACCTGGAGGATTATACAGCGCCTGGGGGGGGGGGATGTGGAAGGCATTCAGGCTTAATTCGGGGAACTGCAGCACAGATCCAATAACCTAAATCAAGAGCCCCTCACCAACATCAAGGAACCTTCCTTGAGGGGTCATCCTTCTGGAACGAATTAAATTCGTATCCCGAGGCACCACTGTATACGTACATGCCTACTTCAGTATTGTGATGCTATTCTTCGATCAAGAATATAAAACCTTTAACACACCCTATCCCACAGTGCTGTATGACCCTTGTGGGTTTAGCACTTAGTTATGATTATAATAATAATTATTCAGCATTGTGATCTATAATTTTTGATCCTGTTAATTCACAACTGTTTGTCAACATGAGTTACTCGAGTGTTGGTGTCTTGCAGATCTTGAGTTATATTGCTCACCATCCTTCCTGGGGTACGGGGATTTAATGCTTATTTTCTGTGTTCTCCTTGAGTTTGTAGAGAATGAATTTTTTTCATTTGCAATTGGAAATGAAGTATGTGAGGTAATGTGCATTCATAAAAAGTGTTGGTAATGGTGTTGCATTTGATACCAAGAAACTCTGGGCAACAAATTATAAGCAGCCAGAAAGAGGGCGGGAAAAAGCAAGGAGTGTACTACGTTTTATTTTGCCATGGAAATGAGGTAAATAGGGTAATTTTTTTTGGCAAGTTTCCTGTAAACTTGGAATTTGAACGTATTGTTGATTTCAACAATTTGACATCCAAGAAAGAAACAGCATAATTTTTTTTTCAGCTTCAAACGTGAATTGAAAATGCTACGGTATTTTCTTCCAAATGTTAAATTACTCAAATTTTAACTATACTCTCAAAAGCCAGATATTGTATACAGGAAAGTTACCAAGATACATATACAGTGGACCCCCGGTTAACGATTTTAATCCGTGCAAGAGGGCTCATCGTTATGCGAAATAATCGTTATGCGAATGAATTTTCCCCATAAGAAATAATGGAAATCAAATTAATCCGTGCAAGACGCCCAAAAGTATGAAAAAAAATTTTTTTTACCACATGAAATGTTAATTTTAATACACACAAACTGAAAAAGGCATGCACAATTAAATGACACTTACTTTTATTGAAGATCTGGTGATGATTGATGGGATGGGAGGAGGGGAGAGCATTATCTTCTTACTGTTTAGAAGGGGAATCCCCTTCCATTACGACTTGAGGTAGCAAGTCCTTTTCCGGGGTTACTTCCCTTCTTCTTTTAATGCCACTAGGACCAGCTTGAGAGTCACTGGACCTCTGTCGCACAACAAATCTGTCCATAGAGCTCTGTACCTCCCGTTCCTTTACGATTTGTCTAAAATGGGCCACAACATTGTCATTGAAATAGTCACCAGCACGGCTTGCAACAGCTGTGTCAGGGTGATTTTCATCTATAAAGGTTTGCAGTTCAACCCACTGTGCACACATTTCCTTAATCTTTGAAGTAGGCACAATGGATTCCACAACTGGCATAGGCTTCTCAGGGTTAGCCGCAAACCCTTCAAAATCTTTCTTAATTTCCATACTAATTCTCACCCTTTTTACCACAGGGTTGGCACTAGAAGCTTTCTTGGGGCCCATGGTCACTTATTTTTCCAGAAACAGCACCGAAAACACTGTAATAATACGAAATATTCCGAGTGTATGCTTGGATGTTACCGCGGAGGCTGGCTGGTAAACAATGGGACGGCCGGCACATGTGAGGCTGGCTGAGGGCACATTGGACGCGTCTCGGACGAAAATCGGTAAGCGGGTTTTTAATCGGTATGCGCGGCAAAAATTTTGCGATAAAAGTAATCGGTATGCGGAAAAATCGCTATGTGATGCCATCGTTATGCGGGGGTCCACTGTAATCTTATTCACTTCTTTTCCAACATGACACAGAAAAAGTGGTATACCTGTCTCTTAAGTCTTAAAAAAACCTCAGTCCACTTTAAACACAGCTCAGACTGACTAGATACCAAGTGCAATAACACTGATATTTTTTTATAAAGCTAAAATACCCCATCAACTTCTTCTCTGACCGCAAACCAAAAAAAAAAAAAATTATTCTCAACAAACCTAAGTAGACCTTGGAAAACAATCAACAAATTGTGGTGGCCAAGGTCAGCAAGATGACCAACTAACTCAGGTCCTCCAGAGCAACACCACAGAAGCTATTTTGTATATAATAAGACTAATACATGACCACCATGAGGGAGAGTGCATAAGACTTTTCATGGTAGTACATATATATATGTATATATATTTTTTTTTTTTTTTTTTTATTATCACACCGGCCGATTCCCACCAAGGCAGGGTGGCCCGAAAAAGAAAAACTTTCACCATCATTCACTCCATCACTGTCTTGCCAGAAGGGTGCTTTACACTACAGTTTTTAAACTGCAACATTAACACCCATCCTTCAGAGTGCAGGCACTGTACTTCCCATCTCCAGGACTCAAGTCCGGCCTGCCGGTTTCCCTGAATCCCTTCATAAATGTTACTTTGCTCACACTCCAACAGCACGTCAAGTATTAAAAACCATTTGTCTCCATTCACTCCTATCAAACACGCTCACGCATGCCTGCTGGAAGTCCAAGCCCCTCGCACACAAAACCTCCTTTACCCCCTCCCTCCAACCCTTCCTAGGCCGACCCCTACCCGCCTTCCTTCCACTACAGACTGATACACTCTTGAAGTCATTCTGTTTCGCTCCATTCTCTCTACATGTCCGAACCACCTCAACAACCCTTCCTCAGCCCTCTGGACAACAGTTTTGGTAATCCCGCACCTCCTCCTAACTTCCAAACTACGAATTCTCTGCATTATATTCACACCACACATTGCCCTCAGACATGACATCTCCACTGCCTCCAGCCTTCTCCTCGCTGCAACATTCATCACCCACGCTTCACACCCATATAAGAGCGTTGGTAAAACTATACTCTCATACATTCCCCTCTTTGCCTCCAAGGACAAAGTTCTTTGTCTCCACAGACTCCTAAGTGCACCACTCACTCTTTTTCCCTCATCAATTCTATGATTCACCTCATCTTTCATAGACCCATCCGCTGACACGTCCACTCCCAAATATCTGAATACGTTCACCTCCTCCATACTCTCTCCCTCCAATCTGATATTCAATCTTTCATCACCTAATCTTTTTGTTATCCTCATAACCTTACTCTTTCCTGTATTCACCTTTAATTTTCTTCTTTTGCACACCCTACCAAATTCATCCACCAATCTCTGCAACTTCTCTTCAGAATCTCCCAAGAGCACAGTGTCATCAGCAAAGAGCAGCTGTGACAACTCCCACTTTGTGTGTGATTCTTTATCTTTTAACTCCACGCCTCTTGCCAAGACCCTCGCATTTACTTCTCTTACAACCCCATCTATAAATATATTAAACAACCACGGTGACATCACACATCCTTGTCTAAGGCCTACTTTTACTGGGAAAAAATTTCCCTCTTTCCTACATACTCTAACTTGAGCCTCACTATCCTCGTAAAAACTCTTCACTGCTTTCAGTAACCTACCTCCTACACCATACACTTGCAACATCTGCCACATTGCCCCCCTATCCACCCTGTCATACGCCTTTTCCAAATCCATAAATGCCACAAAGACCTCTTTAGCCTTATCTAAATACTGTTCACTTATATGTTTCACTGTAAACACTGGTCCACACACCCCCTACCTTTCCTAAAGCCTCCTTGTTCATCTGCTATCCTATTCTCCGTCTTACTCTTAATTCTTTCAATTATAAA